GGAGGAACAGTCCACTGCAATGTTCTTAGTACTTTGAAGCCTTATGATGACAACAGGAGACGGAAAAGTAGGAGTGGCAGAAACAGCGTGTCATGGACCAAATCAAGAATTCAGAGCTACTCACCCCACACAGATGCATGTGCCTGCATTGCAGCAGAGTCTGTTGATCCCACATCGGCCTCCTTATCCATCTTCAGACCCACAGATAAGACAATCATGGAAGACAGTCATCTTTGACTGTGAGGAATTGCCCGAGACAGGCAGGGCATTCAAAAATAAAGGCTCGTTCACGTCATCATCGTCCACTGCCACCAACTGAGGAGTGCCTTTGAAAAATAAAATCACTTCCTCAGCACAAAGAGGAACATGGTGCAGAACTGGCTTGCTATGCCCTATTAAAATGATGAGCAAGGAGCTACCCTTGCTAGATTAAGGGACAACTGTAGTATGCTTGGGCCTAGGGCCACTGGTACAGAAGCCATGCACTAAGGTCAGAATTTTAGTGATAAAAAAACCATGATGTGTTAGTCTTTATGTTTGCAAAGCAGTAATATAAAAATAGAGTGTAACAGATGTGGTAAGTGTGCAGATCAACTTCGGCTCAAGGGAGGGCAACAGAAACCACTGAAGTCAGAGAAGAAGCCAGTTAAGCCCCTGTATACCACTAGAGCAGAGGAGGCCAGAGGCCATAACAGTGCTTGGGCAAGGGAACAGGGGCCCCACAATTGCCAGGGGAGGAAGCATGGTGTCAACAGTTCTTCATCCTCCATTGTTATCGGTGCTACTTTTAAGTGACCCCCATGTGGGAGTATATTGAAGGGTCCTTGTTGCCATAAACTGTCCCTGCCTCCATCTTGATGCATGTCTGAATAGAACCATGCATGGCCTGTTCCTGTCCTGCCCAGTTGTGGGGCTAGTAAGGAATTTGGCAGTTCCAGATGTGCTCACCTCTTCTTATCTCCCACTGCACAGAGAAAGGGGATAGCGATCTACCTAGTATGAGAACACTGGGAAGCACTCTCAATATCCTCTCCTCCCCCACCTCCACGGCATTCATATGAGGGAGGCATAATCCAGCTCTTCCTGTGTAGTTTGTCCTGGGGTTTAATTCTTTCTTTCTTGATTCTTTGTTTCCATTGCTGTGGTTTTCTTTGGTTTTGATCACAGTCAGACATGTTAAAGCAATTAAATACAAATTGACTGGGATGGAAAACTAGCTTGGTCAGTTCAGCCCAGACAGCATCCTGAGAGAGACGTAAGTCTGAACTGAGACAGAAGAAAGATTCTCTGAGTTGCCAGTTCAAGTTATTTTATTATGAGACTTAAAATATGTGTTTGGGACAATTAGTTCCTAAACTGTAATAATGGAGACAAATTTGAAAACATGACCCAAGTGCACCAGAAAAGAATCAAAAGCTAGAGGGAAAAGAAAAAATGAAGCTTCTTCCCCACCCCTTCTCGTAAAAGTCTCTTGACATTTAAGCCGTATCTCATGAATTTGAGGGAGGCAGCTACTGATCATTTTTGAGTTTCTGGGGTTGGCAATACCATATATCTGATGTGTTTGTGATATCAAAGTATCCTGGCTGGGTTGAAGCTCAGGGAGTTACTGCAGTATGTGTGAAAACAGACCCAAATTCTCTAACTTTGTTTTAGACATATCACTGAAAAAGGTACTTTTTGATAAATGTGCTTCTTTGTTTGACTGTGCTGGGGAGCTGGGCAAGCAGGGTGCATCCAACTCAATGGAACAGGGAGAGGCAGAGAACACAGATTGCTCCTTCCCTTTGTTTTCAGATGCACCTATTGCACCAACAGGGGGAACAGAGAGAGGAGCTGAAGTCCTGGATGGAGCAGGCTTGAACCAGCCTAAAGGATAATACAGCCTGAATAGCTCCCTATTCATTAGGAAATCCTGGGAGAAAAGTGCTCATAAACGCAGGGCTTTGCCTTAGTAGCACAGTCAAGCTCATAAATTTTATAGAAAAATCAAGTAATTTAGAACTGTATTTGCAAATTTGCTAAAATGCATATTTGCAGAATCTAGCAGATGTGCCCACAGGTGACTATCAGCGCATACAACTCACATGATTACATGTTCACACTGGGAGATTAACCGTGACTTAGGTTGCCCAGTGTGCATAAACAAATTTCATTTACACATAGAAATGTAGTCTGAGAGCAGGTGGTGGCTGCAGTGAGAACACATGAATGTTTACAGGCATGCCACTCCTTTCTGATTTTGATACTTGGCTCACAAGATTATGATGTGGCAAAAATGAGAGGACCAGTTTAGACTATTTTGCTTTACACTTTGAAATGTGAGATTGCATAAATCGATTGTGATTCTCCTTTTTAGAAATCTGAAATAATTTTTTCCATTACAGTTATGGGGGGGGTTGCAATTGACAGACTCAGATTTGTCACTCCTTTTTCAGTAAGTTAAACAGATCATGTGAAGTGTACAGCAATTTAATATATGCTACTTTAGATAGTAAAAAACATATTACAAAGGGCCTTGTTTCAGCAGCTGTAAAGCCATTCCGTGACCACAGTGAAATTTTCAGCCTCCCGCATTTGCTTAAAGCTCAGAGTAAGGCAGCAGGGCTATAAAAGTAGTATAGCCCAGCGAGCAGCATTGCTGCTTTTATTTTCTAGGAGACAGATTGTCTGATAGCTTTTTTGTGTAGTACCCTACACATTTTGATTTCAGTGAGCTGCTCTGTGGAGTAGAGTATTAATTTGACAAGGAGGTGCATCACTTACCTGTTTACTTACCTAGCCTACTTTATCATGATATCTGTGAAGTAAGAAAGTACTGTTCTCTGGTGATGATCTGTAGCACAGAGTGATTAAAGTTAATATTTAAAAAGTGACTTAAGAGCCTAAGACCTGTTTTAAGAGTCCAAGTATCATTTAGAGCAGTGGTTCCCAGCCTTTTTTTTTCCTGAGGACTGGCATGGGAGTGGGACTGGGCACACGGAGCCAGTGGCCTCCCTCCCGGGAATGTCACTGCCAGCAGCAGAAGCTGCTCATCCAGGTGGACAGACAGGGGTCCAAGCGGGGGGCTTGTGCCACGACCCAGTAGCCAACCCTTCGTGGCCTGGTACCTGGCTGCGGCCCTGTGGTTGGGAACCTCAGATCTAAAGCCACTTAGGAACTCCTGAAAATGGATCTGTAGGAGAGCAGTGAATCTGGCCCAAAGCTTAACACTATTTCTTTTTTAAAAATAAAATTAAAAAGGACAAAAGTAAAAGCAAGAATACAAGGGTCATGTTTTGCTTCTGATCTTTACATTCAACCCTCCACCCCTCACAACATGAAGAATTTGAAAAAAACAGAAACCCAGGAGTTCAAAGTAAAGGCTGGTGCTCAGTAACTTATACCCATTGTATTTCTTTGAGGTGGGTGAGTCATAGGCATCTAGTCCTCCTTAGCTTTGAACTTCAAGCCTTGTCTGGATTTTTCACTGCTTTCAAGGATCTCTTGCTCCCACAAGTCACTAGAAGTGGGTGGGCTTGGCTATGTAGGCCTTGCTCATATTGAGTGTGAATAGTCCCATTGAAATCTGTGGAATCAGTCATGTAAGTGCTTACCAACATGAGTAAGAAATGTGCAAACAAAACCAATGGCAGCAGGAACAGGTTACAGTTAAACACCAAGATGTGGGGTTTTGGTAAATAATGCAAATAGCTGTGAGGAGCAGTAAAGCCATATGGAATATCTCAGCAGCTATTAAGGGGACCAAGGTAAGGGGTTCTAGGACGTTTACCCTCTTATGCATGTCAGTCTTTCTTCTCAGTTTCTTCGTGCAATTGGATATGTAAAATGTTTTTGAATCTATGACCATGTTTGGAAAAGCTGCTTTTTTTTGTATTGTCTGAGGTATATACAGCCACAGAGAGCCATAGATAATGATTCCTCTTCTTAATTAAAAAGGCAATGGAAAAATTATTCAGATTTGCCTGTCTGACATAACTGAGAGAAAAGCAAGCAAACAATTTGGCTTAAATGCACGTAAAGTTAATTTTTAGCCTTGGTCATGTTGTAAAACCTCATTGATTTCAGTGGACGTTGCACAGGTGTAAATGAGGCATGAATTTGGTTCCCAGGTTTGATAATTATTTGCCCTAAAATTCTTTATAAAACTGTAACCAACATGTCTGGAGTCCAGAAGCAAATGTGATAGGATGGTCTCAAAAGGAAAGTGAACTCCTTGCTGGCTGAGAGCACACATTTAATGTAGCAAGGATGGTTTTCCTACTGATACAGCTTAGCGTTTAGGCTTTACATACTGGGTGACATTCATCTCTGTGGTAAATGAAACCAGTCGTTTTACTACATGCTGCATGGGGAACTAGCATGCTGATGTAACACTTAAAAATTTGTTTTAAATTCAGAAACATTTATACCTTTCTAATGACAATGGAAGATACTAGAATTGGGTTGTATCAGAGACTCATCAGTTTCCCTTACTCTCACTTTACTCTTTCTCCCTCTTTCCTTCCTTGGCCATTCTGCATATATAAACTATTGTTGCTTGTGTTTGTTAACTAAGCTGATATTTTCCTTATATCAGTATTAGAAAAAGATGAATACGGCAAGTCTGGACTGTGTTAGTTGCACAATAATAATAACAGTACCTTATCAGTACCTAATGTAACAGTTGTTACTTAACATAATTAATGTTTTTGATTTTCATCTAAGGTGATTGCTCCCTTTCTCTGTGCTCTCTTGAACCAGGTACTTCTTGGGTCATTCTTAAAGAAATGATCATACTTGTATAGCAGATATGTGATAAAAAATGTTTTAAAGTGGTCTAAAACATTATTGAAAAGTATCGTCTGTTGAGCCATCATCAAGGCTCCTTCTGCTCTCTGTACTTGTTTAAGATAATAAATATACATTGGAGAGAGGTCAGGGATTTGCCCTGGGCCACACACCAACCACTGAAAATGACGTTTTCATTCTGAATGATTCTTGTTTTATTTTTATTAAAGATCCTGGAGAACAGTGCAAGAGTTTTAATGCAAGACATCAGAAAAAAAACTCTGCAACATCTCATGTGAGGAGAAGAAAGGAGACTTATGATTGTGTCTTGAAACACTCTCATGATTTGAGGTAAGTGATGCTGCAGATTCTGTCGCAAGTTAGATTGTAATTCGTCATTATTTACTTTTGAGTTGCATAATATCTTTTTTTAATCTACCTTGATATTTTCTCAGACAAACAGCACATGTACAGATGCATGCACATGTAATTTTGGTGGCAAACACTGAGAAAACAGTACAAATGTGTAGTGCATTTGTCTTGCTAAGATTAACCAGCTGAGGTCCAGCCTAGCAAATGCTTACACCCATTCACTTTTTGCAGGTTAGTTCCATTGAAATTAATAAGACTTCCTACCTATTTAAAGATAAGCTTACGTCTAAGTATTTGCAGATTCAGGGACCAGGTAATTATATTTTATGATCTTTTCTAAAGAAAACTATTGTATAAAATAGTAGAATAAATGGCTATACATTGTCTTACCATGAGTAGTGGCATGAGTCATCCCATTTTACAGCAGTCTCCAGGAGTATTTTTGTGTTAAATAGGCGACTTTCAATTTTATGTTGTAAAATGTCAACTGGAATATCAAACTTATTAAAATGATCTGTAAGTTCTGTGTTAGCTTTATTATTGGAGCTCGTTGAACCGCATCACCAGTGAAATTCTGAATTTGTGTAGGTAAAAGAATCAGTAAACTCTCCCTTTCTGAACTAGATCTGTGAATGGCACTTGGATTTTTGAATAGCAACAGCACAAGTAATTCTGTGACTCAGACTGTATTATGGTGTTTTAATTTAATATTTTTAATAGAGACAACTAATTATGAATTTCTGTGAAGAGCGTCACCTTTCCTATTATTCGTCATTTCCATTTTTGCTCTTGTTTGAGTGGATTGACCTTTTACGGGTTTTTTTCTGTATCAAGCAAGGAAAGAAATGTGTGGTGGTTGTAATACTAACCACTGAAAAATATGAATGTAAATATAAAATATATATATCGTATCAGCCTGAATATCAACATCAACCCATTTATTCTTTTCCCTCTGCAAGTGTTTTGGAAGAAAAAAATTACTGTAAGAAACCTGTGCAGGCAAAGGCCTAGACCAACAGTTCTTAATCTGTTGGCTTTGTGGGCCAGGTGAGTGGTGCAGGTCTGGTCCACAGGCTGGATTAGGCCCTGTACTGCCTCTATCCGGCCCCACACACTTGAATAGGGCCCCAAGCATCCTTGGCTAGCCCCCTGTGCCACTTTCAAGCCCTGAACTAGTTCTGTGTGCTGGGATTGGGCTCTGGGGTCCCATGTGCTGGGTTTGGACCCTGCATGCCTGACCTAGCACACAGGGCCTGGGGCTCCCCACAGGTCCAGAAATTTGTTAGTAGGGGGAGCGGTGTCACTCTGATGCTAAATTTTTGGACCCATGGAGAGGTTCTCAGGCTGGATGACAAGCTGCTGGGGGAAGGATCTGGCCTCTAGGCCAGTGATTGAGCACCCCTGGCCTAGATAAATTAGCTTATTCTTCTGTCATGAAGAAATGGCTAATCATGGCACAGAAGGGGGAAGGAATGTGATTTCAAGATTGTGCAGAGTATGAGACCCAGGGAATCCCTTGCAGATCTTGGTGCATTCCAGTAGAATGCCTGCATCCTCATAAATTTTATCATGATATCCTCTTTCCTTGAGCAGCATGACTGCCTCAGTGGTCAGGGTACCTCCAATATCTCTTGAGCATTAACTGTTCCCAGTGGGAAAGTAAAGGCCATGGAGCTGAAGTTCACTCTTCAGGAAGCACCGTTAGCATTTGTAGGGATTTTCAGTGCACCACAACACTGCACAGAGCTACTGCTCAGCTCTGAGCATGGCTTCATTTGGCCTTGCTCCTCAGTATCCCACAGTAGAGGGTCTACACTCATCTTAGAGAAGGGGTAAAACATATCAGGTGCCTCCTCCCCCTTCCCCCCCCACTTTCACACTGCTTGCACAAATTTGGCTGGGACTTGCACTCATTTGTTTCCCTCCTTGCTTCACAACACTGGAGACTGTAAGAAGTCTGTGAAAACTGATTGTGATTTGCTTGAGAGGAATGATGCCAATGATTCTTTTGCAATCAGTAGAATTAGAGCAGGGGCTGAAATATTTTCTTTCTGGTTGGTGGACTAAGGCCATGGTTTGAAAAATAAAGATATTCTCGAAAGCATTTGTGTTAATTACTCCATTTTTAGAAGTCTTAGTAAACTACTGAAGATTATTTTTCTATATTTGCATTTCTTGAGTTAGAGGTTGCAACCCCAAGTAGGGGCTCAGTGTCCCTTCATTGGGGTCATGGGCATTCTTACTTCTGTCAGTCCAGTGGGGGGTGGGGTTGTGAAGTAGTT